AGGTCATTAAGTGCAGTGGGGCGATCATCTCAAGGGGTAGATTAGCAGGAACCCTTGGGGGGTCCACCGTATTCACAGGGATAGAAAAACATATAAAAAAGAGGTCAGAGGTGCCCTGCGACTTTTTTTTTTTGGATGATTTTTTTTTTGTTAAAAGCCATTAGAATATATAAAAAAAATATAATAATTTTAGGTTTTTTTTTCCTGTGGTTAAAAATTTCAAAGCTTTTTATTTGAGACCGGACACCAGAGTTAACTTAGGTTTTTTCAAAATGCTGACACGCCGAGCTCAAAAGGTTCGCCATCACTGATCTACAGTCTCCGCCCCGCCTCCCCCCGGTGCCGCCCCCCCCCCCCCCCCCCATCTGATATGCTGATACAGGTTTGGGTGTGGGCATCGAAAAGATGCCCTTGAAAAGAGGAGAGAGGGGGCAATGGAGAGAGCGGCCTGGTGTTGGCTTCCCAGCTCTGGCGAGGGCCTGGTCCACACCTTTCAGAGGAACAGGGCTGGAAGAGACTGGGCTCCTGAGGGACGTAAGAGGGTTGACAGGCCAGGTATCCCCTGGAGCTAAGGGAGGAGCCTCCCTGTTTTCCCTAGAGAGTTAGACAACTCTGGTTCTATGAGGACCGGGGAACGTAGCACCATATCACACCTTGAAAGGAGCTCAGGCCGCCACATTCTGGGCACAGAGTCAGTGCCTCACAGGGCCAGAGCCTTCAGCTGGCCTGGGGATGTCAACACAGAGGTCACAACACTAGAATACTCACCCTGAGCAACACAAACCCCATTGAAGAGGCTCAGAAATAATTAAAGGGGTCCTTGAAAGCAATATTTAAGTTCCTGGGGTTTTCTTGAAGGAGCCACAAGTGAGCAAAGTTAGATGCTGGTGTGGTCTCACCTGCACCCACAGGCCTGGTGGGAGCTTGTTACACAGATGCTTAGATGCCCTGATACCTCCGCCCTCCACTGGGCTCCCTCCCAGGCCCGTAGCCCCAGAGACTAATGTGGTCATGGCGGCCACTGGGGATGGAGTTGCTCACGCAGGGGTAACAGCTGAGCTTGGAGACTGCTGCCACCGGAGCCCAGATGGAGCTGGTGGCTGTGTCTGTTCCACCCTGGCCTTGGCTGCTCTTAGAGGATACCCGGTGGCTGTGGGTCTATTGCCTGTCTCCCCCGGATGAGCAGGAATCCTGTACTGTGTTGTTACTATACCTCAGTGTCCAGAAAATACCAGGAACATAAGATGCACTCAAAGTTATTTGTGAAGGAAAGAGAGAAAGGAGGAGGGAGGGTAGAGGTGGGGGAGGGGGGTGCCAGAACAGCATGTGAGGGCATCCCTACCCAGGGAGATAGGTCTCACACGTCAGGTGGCCAAAGTCAGAGCCGTCACAGTCTTCCACGCCCTTGTGCCGGTGGCCATCTCCACAGTATGCCCGGTGACAGCCTGAGAGGACACAAGCAAGTGCAGCCCTGAGAAGGGGCAGGGGCAGGACAGCCTGGGCTGGGCCCACTCACTAAAAAGGGCTTTGCTACTAGGGCTCCATCTGGTAAAAGTGAGTCCGGATTTAAATTCTTGGCTTCGCCCTTTTTCCTTTCACTCTTCATCACCCTTATCTTGCTTGTGGTTTCTTCTCTCTTTTTTGTTTGTTTTCCACCCTGATCTTTTGACAAAGAACATGGACTGGAATTTGGATTTTGCCAAGAAGTAGGATTCAGAAAAAAAGCAGGCCCTGGTGGCTTCTCTGGGGGCAAGGGCCTTGACCCCAACCCCCAGTGACCTGCCTGGATAATGAAGGAGTTAACATTTGGCCTCAGAGGCAGATCATCCCTACAACAGCTCAGGTACATCCCCGCAGGCTCTAAAATGATCCCAAACCACCACAGGTGTCCAGGGCTGGCCCTGACCCCCACCCTGATGGCAGGGCCCCACTCACTGATGCAGTCGTCACCCACATCGTCGTTCCCGTCGTCACACTCCTCCCCGGGCTGCAGGACCCCGTCCCCACAGGAGCCGCGGTGGTCTACAGAGTAGTCCACAGGATAGAAGGGGGTCAGCTGGCCAAAGAAACACACCAAGTTACCAAGGACAGTGCGCCAGGCAGGGCAGGCCATTGGCACTGGGGACAGAAGCTCTGGGCCCAGGGGGGCTCTGCCGAGGAGCGCCCCCCACTCCTGGGTGGGAAAGGCACTGCTTTTTTGTCGCCCAGAGTTCTGTAGGGGCAGGAAGGCTGGGCCTGATCAACTCAGTGCCCTTGCAGTGCAGGGACGTGAGACTGTTGGGAACCTTGGCTCAGAAGAAAAGGTTCTATTTGGGGAGCCGGGCCATGAAGAGCTGCTCAGAGACAGCGAGGGAGGATGTGCAGCCCTTCCATGGAAACAGAACTCTGCACCAGCCTCCCTGTTGGCCTTCTCTACCTTGAAAGGTATGTGCCTTTCCTGGTGGGGGGTGTCCCCAGCGCCTGCCTTGGGTACCTGGATGGGGAGCCAGCCAAGGCTGTCCTTGAAGTACAGGGATCTCTGGTCTTTGCGGAAGGCGATGGCATGTTTGGTGTTCAGCCTCTCAAGCTCCTCCTGGTTGTTGACCACGAAAATCTGCCAGAGGACACACTGGTGAGGCTTCGAGAAAACACTTCCAGTGGGGGCAGGGTAGGGCTGAAGGAGGACACGTTGCTGTCCTTGGACTGGTTATCAGTGGGAAGGGCGTTTGCATGTTACCCTCTAGCGTTCCTCCTGATTCCCATAGCTTTTCAATCCAGTTCCTAATGTCTCCATTTGAAGTAAAAATATCCAAATTTTTAAAAACATTTAAAATGTGCCCAAGACTTAAATAGGAAGGTGAGGTCATCTAAGCAAGTAATTCAACATTTACAAATGAGTCTTAACAAAATTCACAAAAGTGTTCATTACAGTGTTATGTACGTTCATGAAAAGCTTGGGCATACCCCGTAAACACTGACAATAGGACACTGGTTAAATAAATCACAGCACAACTGCATGGTGGACGGGTGATTATGCATCAGTTCAAATGATGTTTATGATGAACTGGTGTCCAGCCTTTACTACAAAATAAACCAAGGGAGGGTGGGCAGTAGTGGGCTGGCATAAAGAGGAAGCAAGATTGGCCATGAGTTGATAAATACTAAATTTGGGTAAAGGGCACATGGACTTTTATTACACTACTTGTTTTGCTTTTGTATTTCTTTGAAATTTTCTGTAATTTTTTGTTTAAAAAGACAAAGAAAATACATCAAAATGGACTCACAACAAAATAGTTTTCTTTTGATTTTTCCTTATGTTCCAATTTCTTATGAGTGTGTACCCAGTATAAGTTTTGCTAAACAAATACATACATACATAAAAATAAGGTTTATTATTACAAAGCCCCGAGGACCCGATGAGAGGTCCTGCTGGGTAACACCCCAGATTTCTCCCATAAGAACCTTACCGCAGGGACTCTCGGGGAGCTGGGCCCATACACGGATTCCCCATAAGAAGGGTTATTCACATTCACGGGGGTTCCACAAAGACATCTTCCTGGAGGCCCTGGAAATCCTCGTTCTCCTTTGGGTCCCATTATAAGTTGTCCTAGGGAGCAACAGACGACTGTTACTAGAGCCAAGGAAGAGAAAACCAAACAGCCCAGGCTGATGTGAGCAACCTTCACAACAGAAAGAAGGCTGAAGTCCACAGTATTTCAGGGCAGAGGTTCAGAGAGATGCTTTTGATCCACGATGTGGAGGAGGTGATGTTCTCTGGGACAGGATTCCTTAACCATGCTGGTGTGGTAACACCCTTCTCCACCCTTATTCTCCCTTCCCTCTCTTTATACTTTGCAGCGGTTCTCAACCTGTGGGTCGCGACCCTTTCACAGGGGTCGCCTAAGACCATCGGAAAACACATATATAATTACATATTGTTTTTGTGATTAATCACTATGCTTTCATTATGTTCAATTTGTAACAATGTAATTGGGGGTCACCACAACATGAGGAACTGTATTAAAGGGTCGTGGCATTAGGAAGGTTGAGAACCACTGCTAGAGACTAGACAGATGGGCCTTCTACTTCCCAGACTCCCTTGCACCTGGAGGTGACCATGTGCCACAATGTTGGTCAATGCAAGGTCTGGTGGAAGAAGGGTGGGCATCTGGGAAAGCCTGTCCTAATAAGGGAGAATCATCGCTGGGGAGAGTCATAGCTCCCCCCTTCTTCCTGCCTAGAAGACAGATAAGATGGCTGGTGCTGCAGCAGCCATACTGCTAACATGAAGTAACAAGGATGAGGAGAGAAGCCACCATAAGGGACAAGCCAGGGGCTTATGGGGTCTGGAGCCCTGATAGTATTGACACTTAGAGGCTGAACCAAAGTGGGCCACTGTCCACCTCTTGACTTTCTTGTATGAAAAAAACAATCCTGTCTTCTTAGACCACTATCAACAGGGGACTCCTTGCAGATAAACTGCTCACTAATAAACTTTTATTGTTTTTTTAAAAATTCATTTTATATTGTTTTTATAAATAGGGTCTTTACAAAGGAACTTCTGAGTAAGCATTTTTAAAATTTCTTCTGGAAGAAAATGGAAGTTCAAAAATGCTCAGCCCACGTACTCTCCCTGGTACTGAGAAGAGTGTCCTGAAAAGATGTGATCAGGAAATTTATTCCCTACAACGTCGGAGACCTGCTAGGGCAGTAGCTCCCACCTTCATTTCTAAAGGCTCTGATGCCCAGGCCGCACCCCAGACCTTCAGGGCTCCTGAGAACGGGACCCAGGCAACCGTACTTTTAAAAACTCTCAGGATGATTCCACTGTGCACCATGGTGGAGAACCGCTGGTCTAGGAAACGGTCTTTCACGTGCCATTCCCTGCACTTCTCCAGGGAAGCCTTTTTGAATCCTCATATTCTTTCATGTTAACCTTGGATACAATCTCATGGTTCTCTATGCTTTTCTTCAAGACATTTATCTCTGTTTGTGATTCTGTATATTGTGAGATTATCTGATTCCCCCATCCCCATAGGATGTAAGTTCCACAAGGGCAGGGCTGATGCCCATTTCCATTCACCAGGGCTTGACACACAGTAGGGGCATGGTACATGTCTGATGACTGAGTGAATGAATAAATGAATGAATGCAGACTAGCTAGAAAGAAAAGGTCTTCAGAAAAATCTAGATGTCACAATTCCAGTTGGCAGAAAAGTGCTGGAGCAAGAGCCATCCAATCAACAGGAAGAGAGGAAAAGATAGAGACTGAAAAATGAAATAAAGACCCTTCCTCCTGGGAAAATAGGAGGGGAGTCTGAATGCCAACCAGTCATTGGTTTCAGGTTATAAAACATCAGGGCAGCCAGCAACGGGGGAGACAGTTTGCAGATCCCAGAAGGACAAGAAATAAAATGGTCCCAGGGAAAGGTCTGGTCAGGACCCCAGGGAAGCAGCCACAGCTGGAGGAGGAGGCCTCGATGGGAAGACACCCACACCCTGAGCCTTCACCAGCAGGCTCAGCCTATCCAGCCCAGATGCTGCCGGTATGAGGACAAGGGAGGCTTGTCAACATCTTATACCAAGTAATGGCTGTTCGTTCTAACAAGAAATAGGAACATGATCCTGTGGGAGGAGCCCCAATCTTGTGGAGCGGAGCCCAGAGAACAGAGACTCACCAGCCCAGGAATATTCTGGTAGTTAAGCACCTGGGCAAACTAAGGTGGGAATACTATGTAACCAGGAATGTGAATGGCCCCAACAACTCCTCAGAACCATGGCCTCAAAAGATTCCGGAGTTTGTTCCATTATCCAGCTAAGTCGTGCTGAAGCGGAGATTTGATTCATGTTTGACAACACTATGCCGTTCAAAAGACAAACATCCAGGAACACTGATGCTTGCAGGGAGATAGATGGCAATTCCCAGGTACCACACTGATTCACTTATACCCTGTCTGGTGCAGGAAGGACTCAGCCAAATTTGTAATTAGGTTATTGCAAATTACATCCTAAAGGCATTTTGCCTTCATTCCCTCCCCTACCTCGCAGTGCCTCTTTTGCTCTGTAACTTGGGTAATAAAAAGCTCCCACCGTCTCCACCTCCTGCAGCACCATCTCATCTCACAGCACTGGGCACCAGAACCAGAGGGAGCCTTCCCCTTAGATGACAGGATGTGGCAGGGAGCCTGCTTCCTGCCACCACTGCAGTTTTCCTGCTGACTCCTCCCAGCTGTCAGAGGGCATCTGTTTCGCTGCCTGTGTCCTGCCAGGCTACACTGAAGGGCACAGCAACCCAAATTTCCCCACTTCAGCCTCTCGGAGCTGGTCCAGGGGGCCTGGCTTGGCCTCCATCCCTGCATCCTTGCAGCCAGAGGACCTGCTCTCCACCTTTGCCCAGGGAACTGCTCATCTCCACTGGCTGCTGCGGTGGGAACAGGTCTGAGCGGAATCTGGGAGAAGGCAGAGGAACCACAGAATAGTCCTCACATCTCCCCCAGCTCCCACTCTGCCCTACAGAGGCTGCAGGGATGAGTGGGAAAGCCTCAGACCCAGGAGTCATGGACATTCTGGATCAGATGTGGCTACCAGTCAGCTCTGTGAACTTGGGGAAGACACTTTTCTCTCAGGCTCATAGTTCTTATCTGTAAAGGGAGGGTTGGACTAGCCCAGGAGAATTCTGCCTGATGACATCCCCAGATGGATTTGAGGCAAGGGTTCTGGGACTCTGGGAAGTCGTGTGAAGCATCTTGGGGAAGACACATTTTTCCCCCCTGAGAGTGGGTTTGGGACTTTTATCAGATTCTCAAAGGTAGTCTGAGGAATCACTATGGGGGCCTGGTTCAACTCTTGATTACTATCCAACTGGTCCCAGGCACAGGGAAAGCCTCCATTAAACTCCTCCCTTCCCTTCTCTCCCACTCCCAAAAAACTTTTCTAAAGAGCAGGATTATTGCCCCATTTTCTTCTCTCTAAGAATTATTTCTCCTCTCACTCTGGGAAGCTCCCAGAAAAGAAGTGACTTAAAAGAAGGCACAGGAGGGGACATCAGTCCAAAGAGATGGCCAGCACCCTCTCTGCAATACCCAGGTGGGACAGACTGAGAGCCAATGTAGCCCAGTGAGCACCTGTGGGGACCAGCCCCACCCATACCACTTGCCAGGTGCCATGGGATGTGAAGCCAACTCAGCCACAGATCCTGCCTCAAGGACTTGTCACCTAGAAGAAAGGTGAAACACATCTGCAAAAAACAGTTACCAGTGGAGGGCAACAGCAGAGAGGCAATGTGTGACTGGGGAGCCAGGGGCAATAGCAGAGAGGCAATGTGTGACTGGGGAGCCAGGGGCAATAGCAGGGAGGCAATGTGTGACTGGGGCAGCAGGGAAAGGAGACCCATCCATTAAGGACCAAGGAAGGCCTTACTGAAGAGAGGACTTTGAAGGAATGAGATGACAGGAAAGTCATTTTAGGCCACAGAGACCCAGACAGACTGCAGAAATATGCTCCAGCTCTGCAGAGAGCAGGGCATCTGCTGGAAGGATCTGGAAGAGGATGGAGAGGTGGAGGGGAAGGGGACATGAGCATCCCCGGCTGAGTGAGAAGGAGCTAGGAAACCAAGGAGAGAAAACAAGGCTACAATGGCCTACTAAAGGGATGAGGTTGTAATCCACCAGAGACTGACAAGACAAAAGAGTGGGCATCTGAGTGAGCTGCTGCTGGTCTCCAGACCCTGCCCTTCTCACCCAATCCAGGCCCAAGGAGGGAAGGAATTCAATTTAGATGAGGGCTGGCCTTTACAAATGGGTTGCGGGAAACGAGTTAAGTCGGCTCGCGTGAATTGCGCGTACTCCGCGGGAGCCGTCTTAAACTCGGTTCATATAGATTTGCGGTGGAGTGCAGGAAACGTGTAAACTCGGGCCGATTGTAACTGCGTATTACCAAATATTTCATTTCAATCGAACCCATACTTCAAAAGATATAGGCATTTTAACGCGCCATCTTATATTTTGGCGGGAAATTCACCCGACACCGAAGTGTTAAGGTCTGACTATGCTAAGGACCTCCTTATGCATCTGCACAACGCCCCCCCCCACCCCGCCCCTTCATGTTCTCTTGTGGCCTCTAAATGCCCCAAGGTCCAAGAGAGTCTCTTCCAAAGGCAAAACCCAGGCTTCAGGCTGTGTTCTCAGTCCCTGGCAGCTCATAGTCATGGGGCTTGAGGGGAATGTTAGGCAGAAGAAAGATGAGTTGGAAGGACCTCCATCTGGATCATCTAGTCAACGCAGGGAAACAGATCATGGGGATGGACACAGGGCCTAGGCTGCATCTCAAATCCAGCTCCCTTAACGAATAGAAGTAGATGTGACAAGATAACTTGTTGGTACTATTTGAAAACTTCTGCTTTCTGTTCTCAGAAGAAAAAAGCTCCTAAGAGGGGGGTAGTGTATGAAGTGTGAGGAGAGAGGGGGCTAGAGATCGGAAGAGGAGGGATCCCCACAGGCCTGGAGAGAACAGGTATTCCCTCCCCAGTATCCTGGAGGAGATAAGGTCTCAGAAGGAATGGCTGTGAGCACTCCGTGGAAAGTGAACCA